TGTTGAGTAAGGTTGGTTTAATTTGGGTTGGTTTATTCTGGGTGGGGGGTGTTCTGTTTGCGTTTTAGCATTCTCTTCGCCTCTTTCTTTATTGTTTGATGTTCCCCCCCCCCCTCTTGGTCGGGTGTTTGGTTGCTGTTAGCGGCTATTCTTGACCTTAGCTGGTCGATGTGCCGCTTCCAGCTTCTTCCGTCGGTGGTTTGCAGTCGGTAAGACTGGGGGCCCGTTATTTGGGTGATTGTTGCCGGTACCCAGATTGTGTCCCCTGTAAAGTTTTTAGCATAGACGGTATCTCCAATGTTAAATGTCCTGTATTTGCTGGAGGAGTCCGGGGGTTTTTCCGGGTTGTATGTGGGGTGCATTCTGTCTAATGTGGATCTTAGCTTTCTGCCCATCAATAATTCTGCTGGGCTTTTGTTTGTGGTTGAGCTGGGTGTGATGTGCTGGATAAGAAGCATTTTATTAATTTTGTCTTGTATGTTGCCGGTTTCGATTTTTTGAATTGTATTTTTTGTGAATTGAACCATGCGTTCCGCCCGCCCGTTCACCGCCGGATGAGTGGGTGCGGTTAGTGCATGGCGTATGCCCTGACCTGCCAGAAATTGTTCGAATGCTAGTGCAGTAAACTGTGGCCCATTATCTGACACTAACACATCTGGCAGGCCATGCGTGGCAAAGAGTTTGCTTAGTTTCTTGATGACGGCCTCTGTTGTCATTGATTCCATGGTGCTTACCTCCAACCAGTTGGAGTAAGCATCGACAGTGATGAGGTACATATGTCCCTTGGTTGGCCCCGCGAAGTCTATGTGGATTCTAGACCAGGGGCCTCTTGGAGTTTCCCACTCTCGGATCGGGGCGGTGGGGGGGCTTGGTCTAGTCTCCTGGCACCTTTTGCATGTGGCTACCCAGTTTTCAATTTGTTTGTCCATTCCTGGCCACCAGGCGTAACTCCTGGCCAGGCTTTTCATCTTAACCATCCCTGGGTGCCCCTCATGCAGCATTCCCAACACCCTTTCCTGCAAAGTCTCTGGAATAACAACTCTGTCCCCCCCAAAGTATGCAGCCCTTTTGGGTAAAGAGTTCAGTTTGTTGGTTTCTGAAGGGTTTGAATTGTTCGTCTCTGTCCCCTTCAGGCCATCCTTTTCCCACCCAGCTCAAGACCCACGCCAGCTGCTTGTCTTTATTGGTTTCTCTGGCAATGTCTGGCGCGGTCAGGAGTGGGTTGGGTAATGTTTCTATTTGCAGGGTTGTCGTTGTGGGTGCCGGGTCATCTTCCAGGTCTGGTAGTGGGGAACGGCTCAATGCGTCCGCGTGTGAGATGTCCTTGCCGGGTCGGTGTGTCAGCTGGTAATTGTAGGCAGCAAGGAATTCGGACCACCTTGTCATCCTCGGTGATAGGATGTTCGGGGTGGCCTTATTCCCTGCCAGGATCCCTAGCAGCGGCTTGTGGTCGATGACGATGGTAAAAGTCCTACCATAAAGGTACTCATGGAATCTTTTGATGCCGGCGATGATTGCTAGGGCTTCCTTGTCCAGCTGACTGTAATTCCTTTCTGGCTTGGACAGCGTCCTTGAAAAGAAAGCGATGGGTGCTTCCTTACCATCCGGCAGCGTGTGGCTGAGGATGGCTCCGACTCCGAATGATGAGGCATCGCATGTCACTGTCAACGGCAGGGTCTCGCTATATTGGATGAGGACCGCATTGGAGGTTAGTAGGTTTTTTGTGTTAGCAAAAGCGTTTTCCTCCCGCTTCCCCCAGGTCCAGATGGCTGTTTTATCCAACAGCCTGTGCAACGGTTCCACCACGGTTGCCTTCTGGGGCAGGAAAACATTGTAAAAGTTAATGAGCCCCAGGAAGGCTTGCAGTTCAGTTTTATTTCTTGGTCTTGGGGCTTCCTTGATGGCTCTAAGTATTTTTTCTGTGGGGTGGATCCCGTGTCTGTCTAGGAGGTACCCCAGAAATTCAACCCTTTCTGCCCTTAGTTGGCATTTCTCTTTCTTAACTTTAAGCCCCGAGTCTCTGAATTTCTTCAGTACCTCCCTTAGCCGGGCTTCCAATTGTTTCTCGTTTGTCGCGGCCACTAGTACATCATCAAAATAGGGCACCACCCCCTTTATGCCTTGAAGAAGCCTCTCCATTAGGCTCTGGAAGACCCCTGGCGCCACACTGACTCCGAATTGGAGTCGGTTACAACGGAAGGCCCCTCGGTGGGTCACAATCGTCTGGGCTTCGGCAGTTGTGGCATCGACCGGCAGTTGTTGGTAGGCTTGTGCCAGGTCAAGTTTCGCGAAGACCCGGCCTCCCCCCAGTGAGTGCAGAAGGTGCTGTACTACTGGCACAGGGTATGCGCACTGTTGGAGCGCATGGTTGAGGGTGGCCTTATAGTCCCCGCAGATTCTCACGGACCCATCTGGTTTGATGGGGGTGACTATGGGGGTCTCCCACTGGGCGTGATCGATTGGCTCCAGCACCCCTTGAACGATGAGCTTGTCTAGTTGCTCATCTATCTTGGGTTTGAGTGCAAATGGCACTCGTCGCAGCTTAAGGCGGATTGGGGCGATGCTTGGGTCTAGATTAAATGCAATTGGGGACCCCCGGTACTTGCCTAAGCTGTCGTCGAAGACTTCCTGGAAATCCCTCACAAGAGCCTCTTCCCAGTCCGCCTCGTCAATGTGGTGTATCCCGGTCACTTCGATGCCCAGGGATGCGAACCACTGCAGTCCCAGGAGGCTTGGGCAGTCTCGGTCGTCGATTGTCAGGGGCAACACTTCTGTACGCCCCTTGAATGAAATTTTAAAGTGTCCTATTCCAACTACAGGGATGTGGTTTCCCTGGTAGTCCTTGAGGGTTAGTTTCTGGTCTTCCAACTCGCGGTGGCGGATGGTGGGTGCCAGGCGCTTGATTGTGCACCAGGAAACCATGGAGAGGTAGGACCCGGAGTCCACCTCCATCTCGCATGGTTGGTCCTCGATACCCACTGTCACGTGTACCTTTCTGGCGTCGATGGTGGAGGAATGGCTGATGACGACCGTCTGGTGGGTCTCCTCCCTCTACCTCACCTCGCTACGTCGCTTGCTCCGGCCCTCTCGGCTCCAGCAGCTTTCCGTGTGGCGGTCTCTGGGCTTGGTGGGGGTGCCATCTTGCCGTCGGGGGCTGTCATCTCGTCGTCGGGGGCTGTAGTTCCTTTTGTTCTGGCACACTCTGGTGATGTGCCCCCGCTTTTCGTAATGCCAGCAAATGGCCTCAAGGAAACGGCATTCCGAGCGGGGGTGATCGCCTCCGCAGCCGGCACATTAGAACCTCGACTTACGTCCCCTCGGTTCTCGCCGATCCCGTGCTGTCTGGAGCCGGTGGATCTCCTCCTCCTCGTCCGCAGTTTCCGAGAAGGAGTCAATGTTGCCGTGGTGGGTGGTGATGGTTTCTCGCTGGCTGGTCTCAACATGCTTCTCCGGTGTTGGGGTCGTCTGGATAGCCACCAGTCGGTCTGCTGTGCTCGTTTGCCGCATCCGGGCTGCCGATTTGGGGGTCGCCTTGGTGGCAGCGGCCTCAACAAGGGCATTGGCGAGGGAAATGTCGCCTTTTGCCATGAGCCGGCTTTGTAGGATGGGGTCCCTGAGTCCTAGGACGACGCGGTCTCGCAGGGCTTCGTCCAGGTCAGTGAAGTCACACAGGCCTCCAAGATCCCTCAGCGCCACCACAAAGTCACTGAGCCCCTCGCCCTCGCACTGGTCCCGCCGGTAGAAGTCATGCCACCGGATGAGGATGGGCACGGTGGGGGGCATAGTGATTTCATAGTTTGGGCTCGAGATCAGCCCAGTCCATCTCCTTGACGTCGGCTGGTTTGGCCAGGGCTTTGGCCATCTTGAACACTGCGGGCCCACAGTGTGTTAGGAATACAGCCCTTTTCTTTTGGCCGTTGGCATTCTTGAGGTTGCTGCATTCAAGGAACATTTGGAATCTATCGGTGTAAGATTCCCAATCCTCAGCAGCGGGGTTGAAGGGTGCGGGTGGCGAGGTACTGCCGGCCATGCTGTCTGTCACGCTGTGCCGCTTCGCCACGTGCTCAGTTGGTCTCTTGTCTCACGATCCCACCTTCGTCACCAGTGTTAGATCGGGGTGGATCGGTTCCCAGAGAGACACGAGACCATAGTAACTTTCAGCTCTTTATTTTAGTTCAGCTCAGTACAAGGAAACTGGAGCCGCAGCAACCCTTCATATAGGGATTGCTCCCGGCTCGGCAGCCAATGGCAGCGCTTTGAATCTCCCACGATCGGCTCGGCCAATCACAGTAGATTCCTAATGCTCCAATCACAGCCGCTGAGTCAACCAATCCGGTTGCGGTCCGTGCGGACCAATCAGGTGTCAGGTTTTGGAGTATGCTAATATAGCACACTCACTATGTTATTCCTTATGAGAAAAATGTGTCTGGTATTCATTGTTTTTGGTACTCCGTGAGCCTCCTGGAACCAATTAACAATGAGTACGCCGGCACTACTATACAAAACCTATAGCAACATTCAGCATAACCTCTGGTTAAGATTATGGAATGCAGCTATCTTTGGCAAAAACTGAGCAGATGGCTTCAGCTATTTTTGATTGGTTGGAAAGTTTATCCTAGAGTCCTTTTTCCTATCATTTAATTCACATAGGAGGTAAATAGGTGAAAGAGGTAATGTGGAAACATGAGAGAAAGATATGTATGAAACCTAGCCAGTAGGTTTCTCTGTTGCTTAAACTTGATGTGGATCCTTGTTTGACATTTGTTTAGTCCACTGTTGAAGTGAGCTTAATGATTTTTCAGCACTCATTCAGATTGAAGCCATTTTCTAATTGGTATGGATTTGTGCCCGTTCTCTTTAGAAGTAAAATTCTGCTCAGGGGACTGTTTCTGGTTAAGGCAACAGATAGCAGAAGATATTTCAGGGCAACAGATGCTTTGCATCTTCAGGAAACGCATGTTTCTAAAAAGTTAATCAATAACTGAATTGCTTCGTATAGGATGAAGATGAGGAGTTTCATCATAATGGCTTATCTATGCCATGGAATGCTCAGCTTGGAAGGCCTGGAAACTTCAGAAAGACTTGACACTAACTATAAACTGGACCCGGAGTGTTTTATGAATATTGTATGTTAAATTCATTTTGACTGTTATATTTTGAAACCAGATACATAAAGGAAATGCCAAAGAGGCATCACTGCCAAATCTATAGCCCTCAAAGGGTTATTTAGTGCATTTACTCCAGTGTGATATAGAAATCTTTAATGCTAAATGCTATTTTATACAATATAAAAATCACCAAATAATGAAAGAAAAGTAAAGTCAAGAACATTTTTTAATTTTTTATTTAGTTTTTTATATCCAACCTATATATTTATAAATAACTCAAGGTGACAAATATACCTAGTATATATCCAACTGGCTTTCATCACGCTAAAGTACAGGTGTCAAGTACAGGTGAAACTCAAAAAATTAGAATATCATGCAAAAGTTCATTTATTTCAGTAATGCAACTTAATATATGAGATAGACTCATTACATGCAAAGCAAGTTAGTTCAAGCCGTGATTTGTCATAATTGAGATGATTATGGCTTACAGCTCATGAAAACCCCGAATCCACAATCTCAGAAAATTAGAATATTATGAAAAGGTTCAATATTCTAGGCTCAAGTGTCCCACTCTAATCAGTGGATCCTCAACAAATAAATCTGATCTTGCTTATGGTCCATCTTTTGAAGGTCTATAATTTTGGCAACTTTCTTGATGTTGGAGGTCATGGAAGAGGAATATGCCTGAGGTTTCTACAGTATTCATCATCTTGTTTGCCCATTTATGTTCAGAAAATATAAATTCACACAAGTTTGCTCTGTTATCTTTTTTTCCTATGGACAGAGTGAAATTATCCATTTCCATAACTATCCAAGTGAGGAATATCATGTTGAAACAGAAGATGGATATATACTTCTCATTAACAGAATACCACATGGAAGGCATAATGGTGCATGTAAAGGTAAGACCATGGCCAAGTCAAATGGCATTCAATTGCAGTCTGGTTTAAGAAATGGCAAATGGACTTGCACTCCATACCTGGAAAGCACCTTTTTCTCTTCAGATCTGAAGGGCAGGACCATTCTACTCTTGACAAACCTATATGACCTCGTGCAAGAATTTTACAGAACATGGCTGAGAATACTTTTCAATAACTGAGGTGGAATGATCTATCTCATCAAAATGAAATGTGATGATTTCAGAATGAACATCGATATTTGTATTGGGTGTTACCAGGAATTGTACTGTAACCTTCTCCTTTCAATATCATAGAAAAGGAGATAGTCTTTTTCTAGCATATGAATATAGAGTTAAATAAGTTAAGAAGGGGATTGTTATATAATGTATGTAGTATGTAGAGTAGTTTAAAGTAAAATGTAGTCATTAACGTTACAGTAAAAAACTTGTATTAATTATAATTGTTATTGTACAAGATATTTGTACCCAGACAACACACTGTTTAAATGGAAGATGGACTGGTTGTAAAAATAAAATAAAAAAATTATATTAAAATAAAGAAAAAGAAAAGGATATAGTACAGAAAATAGAATAACACAGTTGGAAGGGATCAATCCAATCCTCTGCAAAAGTAGGAGAATCTATTTCCAATATTAGCCTATATATAGGATTGAACTCACAGCCTCCTGATTGTGAGAAAAGAACTCTACCTCTAGGCCACTAGAGCTGCTTAGTCAATGTTCCTTGAAGGACCTATAAATTTAAGTGACCAACTGACTGATTAATTGAGATTTTGAGAATCTTACACAACTCTTTTCAATTAAAACAAGTTTTAAAAACAAGAATGGCATTATAAAATGGCTATTGTGACAAGTACTGGCAACAGATGTCGCAAAAAAGAAACCACCAAGAACAAAAGCGCCCAATATACAAACTAGATTTAAAAAAAAAAAATACATTGAAAGGTGACTCCTGTTTTAGAAGAACTGGTAAAAAGTTTTAGCTATTAAATCTGCTTAGTAGTCCAATGCATAATTTAAATAGGTTGAGTCTTGAAAGATTAAGAGAAATATATACTCAATTTGAGCGTATACTGAGGCATCCGGAGGTATTTTAATTATAATACTTGTCAGCTCTGAGATTCAGCTGCCAAGATTGTTATAAGCAATGCAAAGGGGGTTGGAGGAGTTGGAAAGTTCAAGGTATGTCACATTTAAAAAGTCCAACTGTAGTTAATTGGTTCTCGTCATTAATGAAATATAAGAAGTGGGAGGAGAGAAGGTGGATTTTGTGAAACCCGCTGACAATAACTTTCAGTTTGGAAATTGAATAGAAGTACCAGAGCTGTTCCTAATAAATCAGTTGGAGGTTATACTTGTTTCGGAGTGATTGATTACCATGGACAATTCTGGATGCCTAACAATACTATTTCTAAGACAATTGGTAATCCAATAGGCAATTTCTTTTTTTTTAAAAAAGAAAAGTTCTACATCCTTTGCATATAAGGGTCTAGATTTGGATCAGTGGTGGGATTCAATTTTTTTTACTACCGGTTCTGTGGGCGTGGCTTGGTGGGCATGGTGTGGCTTGGTGGGCGTGGTGTGGCTTGGTGGGCGTGGCTTGGTGGGCATGGCAGGGGAAGGATACTGTAAATCTCCATTCCCAGCCCACTCCAGAGGAAGGATACTGTAAAATTCCTATTCTGTCCCCACCCCACCAACCTGCTTTCCAGCTCCATTCTCCTGTACAGTGTCCACAGGAGTAAGAAGATCCAGCTGATTAGCTGGGACTCGGGAGGTAGAGAATAGATTGGGGCGGGACTAGTCAGAGTGGTATTCCAAACTACTCAAAATTTCCACTACTGGTTCTCCAGAACTGGTCAGAACCTGCTGAATACCACCTCTGATTTGGATATTATATCATGATACTATTGAGAATATATTGTAATGTTAGAGACAAAGGAATGGAATTGGATATGCTTAGAGTAGATCCATTGAATCAGTAAAACCTCAGTTCCTAAACTCTATAGCTTTAGCCACATAATGATCATGCTTTCATTCCAGCCAGTGTAACATACACTATTTCTAATAATAGACTGTGACAATGCACCAGAAATGGTGATTCTTTGGAAGTTTTATTTGAAACCAATACATTATTATTTTTTTTGCAGTCTTCAATGATCTGGCTCATTTAAAAAAGCATCTCTTTTTATTTTACAGTTGCACGGCCGGTTGTGTTTTTGCTACATAGTGTCCTTGGAGATGGTTCCCACTGGATTTCTAACCAGCCCCACAACAGTTTTGGTTTCATATTAGCAGATAATGGTTATGATGTTTGGCTTGGAAATAGCAGAGGAAACATCTGGTCTTCAAATCATAAGACACTGAAGCCGTGGCAGAAGGAATTCTGGAGCTTTAGGTAAGAATATTTAAAAGGGATAGCAGATAATTAATTATTATTGTTCTGCATTGCACATTAACATTCTTGTAAAACCCCGTCCTGATTGGCCGAGATGTACAGCGCTCGGATTGGCTGAGCGAGCCGCACTGATTGGCCCGTTGCGAATCTCCCGCGATTGGAGGAAACCGATCACGGGGAATTGGAAACGGTGTCATTGGCTGCGGCTGGCCAGGCAAGTTCAATATAAGCCGCCACCGATCTGAAGAAGCCGAGCCGATCTCAGAGCGAAATAAAAGTCACTGAGTCTCGCGTCTCCTTTACGATCGGCGAGCATGACACTGGCGACGAGGGTGGGATCGCGGAACTGATAACCCCCAAGTACATGGCACCAAGACAATAGCAGCCGACAAGATGGCCAGCAACATCGCGCCACCCGCACCCTTTAACCAGGCTACTGAGGACTGGGAATCATACATTGATCGATTCCTGAAAGTAGCAACCTCAAGGACACGAATGGACAGAAAAAAAGGGCCGTATTCCTGACACACTGCGGGCCCGCAGTGTTCAAGATGGCGAAAGCCCTCGCGAAACCCGAAGATGTAAAGGCGATGGACTGGGCCAATCTCGAACCCTTGTTGCGAAGCCACTATGCCCCCGCTGTGCCCACCCTCATCAGATGGCACGACTTCTACCGAAGGGACCAGAAGGAGGGTGAGAGCATTAGTGATTTCGTGGCTGATCTACGAGATTCGGGAGGCATGTGCGGCTTCACAGACATAGACGAGGCCCTGTGAGACCGCGTCGTCCTGGGCCTCAAGGACCCTGTTCTAAAGAGCCGGTTGATGGCGAGGGGCGACATCCCCCTCACGGATGCCCTCGCCGAGGCAACCGCAGCCGAGGCAACCCGGAAGTCAGCGGCGTGAATGCGACGGATGGACACAGCAGAGCGGCCCGCAACCTCCGAAACAACACCGATGCCCAAAACACATTCGGAAATGAGCCGCCAAGTGACCACCACCACCCATCATGGTGACTTCGACTCCTTCTCCGACACTGCAGATGAAGAGGAGGACATCCACCGACTCCAAGCGGAATGAGACCGGCACGAGCGGTGGAGCCGTAAGTCAGGGCTTCAATGCGCCGGGTGCGGGGGCGACCATCCTCGGTCAGAATGCCGGTTTTTTGACGCGATCTGCCGACAATGCGACAAGAGGGGCCACATCGCCAGAGTCTGCCAATTCAAGCGGACCTACAGCCCCCGGCGACGAAACAGCAGTGGCAGGAGATGGGACGGCACCCCCCCCCCCCCAAGGCAAGGGACCAACAAGCCGAGAGCCGGTGGAGCTGAGACGGACGGAGCCGATGCAACGGCAAGAACCGACAAAGGGAAGAGACCCATCAGACGGTCATCATCGGCCATTCATCAAGCTGGGATGCCCGCAAGGTACACGTGGAGGTGGGCATTGAGGGCCAGCCATGCAAAATGGAGGTGGACTCCGGATCCTACCTCTCCATGGTTGCATGGTGGGAAATCAAGCGCCTGGTGCCTACCATCCACAAGCGATGGGGATTCGAAACGGTGTCATTGGCCGCGGCTGGCCAGGCAAGTTCAATATAAGCCGCCACAGATCCGAAGAAGCCGAGCCGATCTCAGAGCGAAATAAAAGACCTTAAAAAGTCACTGAGTCTCGCGTCTCCTTTACGATCGGCGAACATGACAATTATCTTAAAAAGATAGAAGCAGGGGATAGTTTGCTGTAGTGGTCAAGGCATACCTGATGGTGAAAGGAAAGTTCGATGCTGTAAAAATCTATACTCCATAGGAACCTGGATTGTAAGATCCATGAGTCAAGGCAAGCTGGATGTGGTCAAACAAGAGGTGATAAGACTGAACATCAACATCTTAGGGATCAGAGAACTAAAATGGACAGGAATGGATAAATTTAATTCAGATGACCATCAGGTATACTACTGCAGGCAAGAATCCCTCAGAAGAAATGGAGTAGCCCTCATAGTCAATAAAAGAGTAGGAAAAGTAGTACTGGGATACAATCCCCAAAATGACAGAATGATCTCAGTTTGAATCCAAAGCAAACCATTCAACATCAGAGTTGTCCAACCACTAACCACTGGTGCTGAAGAGGATGAAGTTGACCAGTACTATGAAGCCCTACAACACCTTCTAGAATTAACACCAAAAAATGATGTCCTTATCATCATGGGGGATTCGAATGCTAAAGCAGGAAGCCCAAAGATAACCAGAATAACAGGCAAGTTTGGCCTTGGAGTACAAAATGAAGCAGGGCCCAGGCTGGTAAAATTTTGTCAAGAGAATAACATTCTTTTCCAACAACCCAAGAGACGACTCTGCACATGGACATCACCAGGCAGTCAACACAGAAATCAGATTGACTATGTGCTCTGCAGCCAAAGATAGAGAAGCTCTATACAGTCAGTAAAACAAGACCAGGAGCTGACTGTGGCTCAGATCATGAGCTGCAAAATTTGCAAAATTTAGGCTTAAATTGAAGAAAGTAGGGAAAAGCACTAGGCCACTAAGATATGAACTAAATTAAATCCCTGATGAATATACAGTAGAGGTGACATTTAAGGAATTAGATCTGATAGAGTGTCTGAAGAACTATGGACGGAGGTTCACAACATTGTACAAGAGGTAGCAACTAAAACCATCCCAAAGAAAAAGAAATAGAAGAAAGCAAAATGACTGTCTGACGAAGCTTTCAAATAGCTCAGGAAAAAAGGGAAGCGAAAAACAAAGGAGAAAGAGAAAGAAACACCCAATTGAATGCAGAATTCCAGAAAATAGCTAGAAGAGATAAGAATGCCTTCTTAAATGAACAGTGCAAAGAAATAGAAGAAAACAATAGAATAGGGAGTGTTAGGTATAACATTGATACCAAATATGGTTTGGGTGAATAAATATATAAAACTTAGATATCATGGTTTAAGTGCTTATCACTTTAAGCACAATGCTGCAGGCAATTAGCCGATTAAGGGTGCGGTTAGAAGTTACAATATAAGGAAGCATTAGAAGCTGGAAAGCTTACTGTCTCTTACTGTGACTGTGACTGTGACTGTGACTGTGATTAACTGTGAGTACTGATTGTACTGTGCCTGTGACTGAGATGATCCTG